GATACTGTTTTTCATTCTTTCTAGTACAACCAAATTATCACCAAACAACTCAATCCATCCAATATTCACATCCTGGTTGAAAGAAAAGCACAAAATTCACTTCCACTATAAGATCATTTCATAAACATTCCCCCTTTTTTAAAGAAGATATGAAAAGGAGAATAGGTTGATATTCTCCATAATATTGTTTTTGAGCACAAACTTTTATAAGTTGCCCTAAACGCAAATTATTAACTACTCAATCCATAAAAAGTGCAATGTCGCAGTTGAAACAAAAGCTCAAAATTCACTTTCACTATAAACTACTCAACGCGGAATGATAAATCAAACTAGAAGTAGCAAGCCATGCAGATGCACCCCAATGAATTTTCCAAGTCATACATCAATTTTTTACAGGATAGCCAAAATAAAGTATTACACAGATTCAAAGCAATGTCATTGATCAAACTGAACCACCTCAACTTTGCAAACAACTATTAAAGCCACATCAAGCCAGTTAAACATTCCCCCTTTTTTTTACTTGCACAAACTCAAATCCAAAAATTGCAGAACACCATAGCAAATAAATAGGAATTGACAAATCACCACACACCCAACAATCACTAGCTGCTCAAAGCCAAATGGAAACTAGAAATAAATATATCACAAAAAATCTATTGCACCGAAAACCACCGTAAGAACAATTTACAGAGCTCCGCAATAAGAGATCGTATGAAGGATGGATGAGCAGGAGAAATGAAAAGATCGAGAGAAACCTCTGATCGAAGAAGAAAGGTATGAGAGCGGAGGAGGGCACAGAGCGTCAATTTGTTTCGCAAAACGCGAGCCGTATGGGGAACCCGCGACTGCATTTTATATAGATTATCAAGGGATTATTAGGAAACACATTTCAAAACGTAACGCAACCAATAAGCTGCCCCAAATGCACCCGAAATATACAACTAAATTCCTTGCAAACTGTCATTAGCCTGGGCCTTGAAATTAATAAAGACGGATACAAACGGTCGGACGTTGGGAACTAAGTTTTCTGTATTCATTAATCATTTTAAAAATGAAAGAGTCACTAGTGAAATTAAATTAAAACAATATAATTAAATTTACCTTGTTATTGGTTATCCGCTTCTATTATAAATATTTTTTCTTATATCTCTCATCTTTTAATCAACTAAGTAAACCTGAAAAACTAGTTTAAAATAATTCTGAACTAAACAAGCTAGTTAATACTCACTCATAAACTCTAGTAATATAAGAAAAAAGAAAGTAATATGTATATCAATTAAGCTTTTAATAAATTAATATAAATATTTAATGCTATTCAATGAATCCTACTAATCAATAAAATATCTATATTATTCTATGTCTGCACAATCGTCACAGGAGCACCATCTAGAAATTGTATTATTAAGGTATTTCAATATCAATATCATTCTAAATTTAAGTGCTCGAGTATCTTAGTGTTTCACATTAATGCCTCAACCTGTTGCTTGCATCTCAGATAAGTAAAACTAGCGTCTACCTTCCCTATTGTCATGTGGATTTATACACGAAAGTATCTATTCGGTTTCGCGAAACTCAAGTTTCGCCTTCTCCCTCTTCGCCTTCTCGAGTCCTCGCTTTTGCTCTCTCGAGTGTTCAACTCTTCGATTCCTCTCTCGGGTAAATGAAACGAAACTCCACAGAAACTTTTGTAAATTTCAGGTGGTGGATTCAAGAAAGGTAATTGACAGGCTGAAATGCATATAGAGTTTTACGTGCTCAAGAAAACTAACTCTCTAAGCACACAAGTGTTCCCACTTCTATCTTTTTCTCAAGTCTTCGAGTCCTGTTGAAAAGAAAGTCATGTTATGACTTTGTTGTCTGTCCATCTTCTACTTGAAATAATTGTTTCGGCTCTTTTGAATTTTCTTTCGTCATGGGAGAAAGTTTTTTGAGGTCATTTATGAGACCCATTTCATAGCGAGAAGAAAAAGAAAGGTATGAAGGAGAAGCTGATGGATGAAAGTAATCCGTACGAGGCCTCTACATGGGGAGTTTTCAATGGTGAAGAAAGACATCAGAGATGAAGAAGAGTTCTTCAACAGGCATAGATTCGCTCGAACTGCCAATCCAACTAGAAACCCAAAAAAACCGTTTTCGATTTAAGAGAACCGATTGGTTCCATATCGGCGACATGATCACCTTCTTGTCCGTCGTCGACTTGAAATAGATTGTTCGAGTTCTTCTGAATTTTCTTTCATCATGGGAGAGCTTTTGGAGGTCATTTATGAGACCCGTTCGTCTTGAGAAGAAAAAAAAGGTACGAAGGAGAAGCCAATGGATGAAAGCAATCTGTATGAGGCCTCTGCATCGAGAGTTTTCAAGGAGAAGAAAGGCATAGGATACAGAGTGAAGGAGGGTAAACATGGAGCTTTGAGAAGGAAGATGTTTAGACAGTGGGCAGAGAGTTACTCAGTGCCATGTGGCAGATTCAAAGATGGGATGAAGAGCATCAACAATATTGTGTGATCTCATGCCAACGTGGCACAAGGGAGACAATGGCAATCTCGAGGTAACTAAGTTATAAGATCATTGATGTGCAAGTAGATTTTAGGTTCTTGCAACTTTTTTTTTTTTCGTTAAAATTTTTTTGTTAAAGTTATTGTAGCGTGATTCTTTTAATTATATATTTCAATTTTTTGAAAATAAATTGTTATTAAATTTTGAAATAACATGTCAAAATTACTATGGTGTTAATTATGTAAATATTGAGATATTTATTTATACTTCATAATCAAATTTTTTAAAGCTACATCATTTATGTCACATTAAATAAATTTATAATTTTATTATGTTTTCTGGTTTAGCCTCCAGTTCAACCTTTGAATCTTGAAGCTCTCCTTTTGTTGGTTCAATGTTCAATCAAGTTCTCAAAACCATGGTTACTCTTTTGTTACTATAAAATGTTATAACTCAATAGATGCTACATTTTTTTAAAATTAATCATACTATCTCACATTTGATGTTCAGGAGGAGAATGCAAATGAACATTAACTTTGGGATGCACATAATGACACTAACACTGTCTCACAACTTACCCCTCTTCCACTTAGCCCTTCTATCTCCCAAACACCACTGCATGAAAATATCCTACTCAAGGATTTCCAACCAACTCAACTTGAAGTTCATAACAATGAATTTCTTGTGTACACAAGGAGAAAGAAAAATTTTTAAGCAGGTGGAAACCAACTTGCAAAGACAAAACTACTCATGCAAAAGATTAAATCTACTATAATCTGAAATTTCAGTCGAGGAGTCTAGTTCTCATGAGTTATCTATTCCTCTTATGGTGTTGATGATAAGGTAATATGTATTGAATATCTAATTCAGGAGTATGTAGCTTATGAGAAGCTATTCTCACCCTATAAAGCTTTTGTATCTAACCTTAATAGTGTGCTGATTACTAAATCCATTCTCGATGCTCTTAAAAATTTAGAATGGAGGAAAATAGTTGATAAGGAGATTCAAGTATTAAAGCATAATAAAAAATAGATTATATTTTATGGTAATAGTGAAGCTTAAGTCTCGAGATTATTTTTTGTGGGCTTTAATTTGAGGCTTGTCTCGAGTCAAGTACTTTGAAGGCCTAGTTAAGCTAGCTTTTTATCTTAAATCTTTTCTCCTTATATTGAAGTTGTTTGATTGAAAAATTAATGAAATGTCGGATTTTACCTTAAAAACCTTAGTTTCCTCTCTTAGTCCCTTTCTTTACTTCCTGCTCTTATACCTTCTCTCTTTTGCTGATAGTTACATAAAAGGAAATAGGAGACATTGCTTACCTGCTAGCCTATAATGATTATATACTATTATATAACGTGATACCTCTGTCAATCCCATAAGTCCGTACATCGTAAAATCAGCCATTGCATGGTATGGGTGGAAAGCTGATAACTCTTTTAAATGATACGGCATGTTATAGGTGGAAAGCTGATAACTCTTTTAAAAGATACCGGACACTACATTCCTTTACAGTATTATTAGCAAAATGAATAGCCAAATTTAATAAACTTAAGGATTTTTACTTTAATTACTAAATTAGTTCATATAAATAAAAATAGTGTTATTGGTATATATGATCCGTATGAAATATATACTTTTGTACAAATAGCTTTTATTAGTTTTATGAGGTGCAGAAAATTGGGTATCCAAATTTTGGATAATTTTGATTTCTCACCTTTACAAAATGTTGGTATTGCATGATCTTTAATCTATTGAAAATGATTTAAAGTTAAGGTTTATAAATATATTTTTTTTCAAGTGGTGATGGAATTCTGTTTAGTTGGAATACCAAGATAATGTTTGTCGATGCATTTATTAGATTACAAATAAGTCATTTCACTTCTGAAGAATAAGATGTATGACTAAAATATGTTCTTAGGTTAAATCATTCTGGATTAAGTTCGTCTCTTTCGCAGTTAATGGAACTGTAGAAGCTTCTTCTTCTGCCCTAGTCAATAGTCATAGGAATTATTTCTTTTAAGCTTAATTTATTAATCTAATTTAATCCTTTGAAGAAAAAATGTCAGTTCGGGTTGAATTGAGTCAACCGACCTAGAAGTCTGATCTAACCCAGAAGAATTGGTACTGAAGTATTATGGTAGTTGAATCAAGCCAAAATTTATATCAATTGAAGTGGACTGAGTTAGCTGGTTGGGTTTGAATGTGGTTTTTGGCTTTTTTGGGTCAATTTATAATACAGGCTCTAATGGTCAGATAACTTTCTTTTAATTTTAGATTAAATTTAGATTGTCTCCCAAAAATGTTGATTTTTATGGGAATCTAGATAACTTAAAGGTTTCTTGTATTTGATGACTTATCAGTGCATTAGTTTTTCCTTGTTTTTGGATTGCTTAAGTTAGACTTATTTTTCTTGACTTTGATGTATCACCGTAGCCTCCCTTGTAATTATTTATCATGTCTGCATCCATCTGCATGTTCTGAGCAAACATTCATATTTTTTGCAGATCTGGTGTGAAACATACAAATGTTCTTTTGAAGGGACTTACATTCCGGATATTTAGCATCAACTTCTTCACATATGGGTTTCCGGTAAGCACTAAATAACTGTAAGTTTCATGAAATTTGTTCCTTTTTATTAATATCATGATGGAACCTTTTCTTGGTGATAGTATTTTCAGTTTGAAGAGTTAACTTTTCGACTGTTGCCCTCTGCTTATGATGAAGATGTCATATTATGATCATGGAGTTGTGCAAGTATGACTATTTTTTATGCTCATGCGTTTGGAATTTTGAAATTATTTACGGAAGATACCCGCATCGGCCTATCCTGTATAAAAGATTTAACTTTTCAACTGGTCCCGATCGAGGAACTTGAAATGCCAAGACGGGAACTGATGGTCGGATGAACAAAGTACTATTTAAACATTTTCATTTCTTAAAGAAAATCATCAAAAATATAAAAGATTTATTTTATTTCACAAATTTTTATTTGCAATCATACATTCAATTTTAATCTTTTACGATTGAAAAAAAAAATTAAAACTAAAATGCTATACCTATCTCCGTGGGCTTCTCGACGTTTGTATACATACTCTTTAGTATCTATTCATTCTAAAGGGAGTTTTCTTGAAAAATGTTAGCTACTAGAGGTATTAGTTACATGACTATTTCTATTTTTTTAATTTTTAATTTTAAAAAATATATATCTATTCATCTGATTTCAAACTTAATTATGAATAACCAATTTTTTTCTCTCTTCCCCGTTCGCGTTTGTCAAAGGTGCTTGATGAAACTCCTACTTTAGCTCCCAAATATCCCAATCAAGCTCCATTAACCATGATTTCAGCCAATTTGGTTAATTGTTTGGGTTAAATTCAATGAGTTAGTTTTCATAATGGGCCAAATTGAACCAGGTCGACCGAGTTGGTCAAACCCATGATAAAAACGAGTTGATAATGGCGATCAAGTCAAGGTCATTCTAGGGAAGTTTCATGCTCAATTTATTGAATCATTTTGATGATTAAGGTTAATTTTGATTAATTATTTTGTTTATGTTCAATTGGGTCAGTTGGACTAAGTTAGTCCTTTTAAGGGGTCATTGGCTAATTGAATATGATATCTATTTGGTATCATCCTATTTGGAGCTTATGGTCCATTTATGTTGATCAAATTAAAGTTTAAAGCTAATTGGTCCATTTGAGTTGATGTGATTTTAAGTGGATCAATCTTGGCTTAATGAAACTATTGACCAACTCATGAGACTAATTGGGACGAATGGTTTTGGCTATTCTTTTAGCAACCTAATAATTTTAGGGTTTGTTTGACGTTGCTTTTTCTGCTCGGTGCGGCGGGAGGCCGCAGAAAAGGGTTGTTTGGCGCAGCGTTTCGCTCACGGCGGCTGCGAATCTGAGCGAAATGCGGGCCACGGGTGAGACCCTGCGGCCCGCATTACCACTCAATTATTTACTCCCATAGCCTTCGACTTCGACTGGGAAGGACATGATTGGATCGCAGCATGCGTTGATCTTCAAAACTCCCATTGTTCTCTTTTTTTTTGTTTCTCTGCTCCTACCTGAAACAATTGAGGAAGAAGCCCTAAGCAAGCAGAGGTTCTTTTCGAATGAAAAGAAGGTCGAGAAAGGATACAGACGAGAAGCACTGGAGAGAGAGGAAACACAAACATGCGTGATAAGGCTAGGCAGAAGGATGAGACAAGGCTCCTACTGGCCTCACAAGCTTCCACCTCCCTGCCCTTCTCGTGGCTTGAAGATAAAGCCGGGTACAGGTAGTGAGCTGAGGTTAAGGGAGAAGGGCTTTTTATTAAAAACGTGATACCATGGTCTTGGAGTTGGGCCCGAAGGAAAAAATTTAGGGGCATTTACATACATGCCACCCAATTCTTACTTATTTATATGTGTGATTTAAACTTTATTTGTTTACATTTGATACCACCTAAATCTTTCTTATCACATTAAAAACATCCCCATTTTTAGTTTTAAAAATTCATATACAGCTTTACTAAACATGTGTGATCTAAACTTTGTTTGTTTTTATTTTATGCTTTTGAAATATCAAATATGTGGCTGTCACAACTCTGTTTTAAATAATTTTACTAAACAAGAGCAGAATAGACATTTTTCCATAAACAACTTGCCCACAGCTGTTTTCACACAACTGTAACAAATATACAACTAGCTTCCCCGCAGCAACTTTCTCGCAGCAGCTTCCTGTTGTAGTGCAGCTGCAGCTGAAAAACTGAGAATCTACAACTGCCCGAAACAAACCCTTAATTAGAAGTGTTCTAAACTCTTTTTAGTTATAAGTATTTAAATTATCTAGATTTGATATTCTTTATTTGATTGGCATCAGATTCCTAAATAAATCTTAATTTGGTGCAAATGAATTACCAGTTGAAATTTTATCTCAAGAAGGCTTCCCCTATACAAGCTTTTACTTCTAATCTTCCTCCACTGTAATACCACTCTAAATCTACAGCCAAACACTCTCCCAGCTGGTTCAGCCAAACAACAAATTCATAAAACAGAAAAGAAATTAATAGGTGTTTATCAAGTTTTAATTGACCATTTTAGCTATTTCGGGTATTACATTGGATTTTTTTTGAGAAAATGGCTACATATAATTTGACTAGTTATGTCATATTCTAAATTGAACTTCTCTTTTCCTTTCTACATGTATTCCAGTTAGCATCGTAGATTGATCCCTTATAGTTTTGAATCTTGTAAGGCAGGTTCATGCCTTTTGTTTCTCTATTATCGGTTTTCCTTGCCGCATCATTAACCACAAACAATTATGTGAAGTACCTATCTTAATTGTACTACGCAATTAGCTGGTATGATAGTATTGCACGCGTATTCATTTTCCATTTTTGCTGTGCTTTATATTATTTGAGGTTTAGCCAATTTGATGGCCCTATTCATAAAATTTACAGTGTTTTATGTGACAGGTCCTTCTGATTGCTCTCTCTCTATGGAGCTTCAGTTTTGCCAGTATATGTGCTTTTGCGATGCTAGCATATGTGGGCTACGTATTATTTACTTTTCCCTCCTTGTTCAAGTTGCATCGTTTGAATGGTTTACTTCTTGTATTCATTCTCCTTTGGGCTGTCAGTACTTACATCTTCAATGTTGCGTTCACATTTCTCAACAAAGAATTACGAAAGGTATTTTTTTTTGCAGATTCTACACATAAGACCCATTTTGTACTATTGATATCTTAATCAAACATGATCTCAGGATATGGAGATTTGGGAGACAATAGGATTGTGGCGTTGCCCTATACCTGGATTATTTCTATTCGCACAGTTCTGTCTTGGGGTTTTTGTGGCCATCTGCAATTTAGTCAATAATTCTGTTTTCCTCTACCTATCTAATGAAGGAAGGGAGTTCTTTAATGAAAATAGTCCAGCTGAAGGTAAACTCATCTTGAACAACACTGTTTACGTTTGATTTTGGTGTGCTATAACTTACACCTAAAAATTTGAGTATTGTTTTGTGTTGGCATTACTCTTTAATTGTCATGTTGAGTAATACTCAAGTAATATTCTTTATATTCAAATTATTTGTTAACCATCACCTTTTTATTTAATAACGAACCAGTACATGCCATATGCCTTAAACTTCTAATCTAAGATTCAGACCAATTTACATATGAATCCTAACACAACCTGAAACTACCCTTTTAATGACTGATAATTCTCATTTCATTTAGCGTCAGTCGAACTCTTTTCTTAAGAATCTATTACTTTCACTGAAACTATCTCCAACTACCAAATTGAATGCAAACATAATATTGTTGCTTTCTTGCAACCTCGTCATTTCTATTTTTATGCTAATTACCAATTAATTATTGTCTTTGCTTTCTGACTTTTCATAACCCAACATTAGTCTTTGTTCGTTGTTGTGTCTGCTGGATTTGGTGGCCTTTTTTCAATTTTTCATCCTCAATGTACTCTACAAAGTTGGCACGTTAAGAAGCTCTTAGAAAATGTTAGGCCCATTAATTGTATTTCATGCATCTGATTCAGGTTAGATCAATTTTGAGCGTGTGTTGGAGTGTATTGAGCCCCGCTAGCAAACCTAACTGTGCTATATACATTGTAAGCAATATTATATTTTAGTAGCTTTCCTTTTGGAATTACTTTATAATGCGATATGAAATTCGTATCACTTTATAAAAATCATATAATGTGCCATAGATTGTTCTTAGAAAAGTTTAAGTCGAATTAGCTTTGAAGAAAACTCTCAAGTAAAATTTTAGGCTCAAATGAGATACCTCTTGAGAAATAGAGAGTTGTTGGAGATTTTGGAATAGTTTGGTTAACAAATCTTTTCAATGGAATCTTAAAAACTAATAGAATGTTAAATGTGTTTTGTAGTATTTTGGTATTAGTACCTAAGAGCAAATGAGATATTTTGGGTTGTGGTTATCATAGCAGAAGACAAATTGGAGGTATATACCGAAGGTATGGTGGGGTTTAATTGAGTACATGCTTTGGAAAATCCTGTCATTATCTAAGAATAGGTTTGGGTTTATGTTAATAAGATCCATAATGGAGTTGATTTTTTGTTTATGCAATTGATGGAAAACACTGAAAACAAAGAAATGACCTTTTAGGTTTTCGATTGTTGTTTGGAATGTCTTTGGTTGAGAACTTTTGATAACTAACTTTATCGGTGTTCAGGTAAAAAATGTCCGTTTTTATAGTTATGAAAATAATTTTAATAGAGTATTGGTTGACATTATAATAACCATTTCCCAATATGTTTCTTCAACTATTAATGTTACGTTAATATGCCATTGTATTGGTAATGAATATAATTTGAATGATATTATAAATGAGGTATACTTTTGTCCACTCTTTTTGAATGACTGGTTTTTATTATTTTTTGCTTGAAATGGCCTGGTTTTAATTGTTAAGGCCTGTTCTAAAATAGGCGGAACATTAGAATGATATTGAAAATGTTTTTAATATGCGGTGGTGTATATTAGTAGTACAAAAATGAGTCTACTGAATTGGAATTTTAATAGGCGTGCAATTAATGACGTCTTAATGTTGTTAAAATCTAAAGTTCACTTCAGTGTAATGGTGATACCAAAAATAATGTCTAAACAAAATTCAGTAGTTTCTAAATTCAGAAAAGAAAGAAATCTGGATTGAGAATCCCAAAGAAGGGACAAAATGCATAATCTGAAATAAAGATGACTGATCACCACCTTGGCGCCACTTCAGGATATTGAATTTACCATTTAACCCGGAAGGATACATGAGAAGTTTTTACAACCAATTAAAATACTCTCCATTCTCAGCTTACGCAAAACATCACTTTTCAATAGAGGCTGGACTCTCCTAATTATAAGTACGTCTTCCTAAAATATAGGGTCACAATAACTAACTAAAACTCATATACTAACACATATAACTTGAAATAAAATTCTAGCTTCCGGATATTCTCCTTGGGATGACAAGGTTCCTTCATATTGAGCAATCTAGGAATTAGATTCCTAATGAGCAGCCAATTCAGAGAAATTGAAAAATGATTGAGTCGCTTTAATCTCCAAATTGGCCAAGTTTGGTGTTCCAAGCATCTTCCAACATTGAATCTTCAAACCCAATCTTCTTTGAAACCAAGAGAGCCAGAACCATTCATAGGCTAACACTATGTCGCCTCAGGCTTTTGCGGTTTAGCTCGACCGGTTGGCGTTGAAGTTCCTCATGACTTTGGATACATCATATATATAGGTTTGTTTGGGATGACCGAACTAGACACAAAGTCAATGACATGTTGTACCTCTCTCATAGAAGGCAATCCCACATGAATCTCTATCTTCATGTCTTTGAACAACTGTATCAATCCTTGCACATTAGTAGTTTGGATTAATTTTGACATACTTCCGATTGTTGCTGTTCAAGAAGCACCAATCTTGATTGAAGACGACAAATTACTGGTTGCAGTTTTTTCACATCCAAATCTCGGGTTGGATAGACACTATTCCTACTTGGGGCATGATTAATTGCAAAAAGAACTACAAACAAATGCAGGGGCAATAAACTGTTCGAAATTTACGGGCAAGAATTGAATCAAGAAACCCAAGATGGAGGATTATCAACCTCCACTGCTGGACAATAGTGAAAATGCGGTCATAACAGGGAAAACTGGACAAAAATCAACAAATTTGGATACTAAAGAAAACTAGAAAATCTGGAAAAACAAACTTTTGTTCTCAAATTATGAAATAGTTGTGTCCGCAAATTATGGACAGGAATCCACAGAAGGAGAAATGAGAAAAAATGAAAAGAAAAGAAGGATGAAATGCGCAATAACTCGGAGAAGGGAAAGAAAATGTAACTCCCAAATTCCAGAAATCAGGTAAAGAATTTGACAAATTTTTAACGTATCCCAAATTTTACATTCCCCAAAATTCAATTGAATTATTTTTATAAAATTTTTCATTTTGTGATGATAAAATTGATATATAAGTGTATATATAGAGAATTAATTCAAGTGGTTTAAATTAATAAATAATTAAATTAATTACATAAGTTTTAATAATTAATTAATTTACTTAATCACTAATTTCTTAATCAGATTGTTGTAGTAATCTGATTTTCCCACTTATGTTCACATGTAGTGGTGGGATGCAAAAGCAACGATAGAGTTTAAATTAATTTAATTAAACTTACTACATGTATACATACATACATACATACAAACATACATATATACATATAAACATACATATTTATATACATCAAATATATAGATAAATACATACATACATACATACATATATAGATATATACATACATATATATACATATATTTGGATATATACATACATACATATATATAAATATATAGATGAGCCACTGGTCAGATGATCAGATGAGCCAGTCTTCGGATGAGGAATGACATGTCAGTTCTAGGAGGAAAAAGAAGAATGGAGACCGACTCGAGCTTAGAAATTTATTGGACGATACATTGGTTACTACTGGTGATGACACTCTTCTTACCGATTTGTTAGCTGACTTCTTTCCTAGACTAGAGGCAGAAGCAGGGTAAAATTGGGTCGCTCTCTAGGTACATGATACTATGTGTTTTGACACTTCTGGTTTTTGGGCTCATGTATTTTTTTGTATTTTTTTTTTTTTTGGAACCATTTGCATGTGGTGTTTTTCCGTGTGGGTAGGGTGCCATGCTTGGGCCCTCTCATACAATCTATCTATATCTTTCTTTCTTTTTACTATGTTAGCTTTCGGGCTTTTTAAATGAGCCCGATAGGCTTCGCACGATAGGAAAAAATTGCACGAACCTTTCTTCTCGTTTGGCTTCTACCCGCAAGTTGCAACGTCGTCTCCTCTACAGATCGAAATTTGCAGGAAGCCTCTTTCTCGACGACGCTCGCTCGCAGATGTCCTTCGACGACGCTCGCTCGCGTCGCCTCTCTCGTACTCGACGACGTATCACTCGCAGTCGACGACGCTCGTCCTTGTGTCGTCGCGGCTCGCGTCATCTCTCTCGTACTTGACGACGCCTCTGTCGTCCTGCCATTGCACTTGCCAACGATTTTCCTATTTTTACTGGTGCTTCTCCTTCATGTTCAGAGCCTGGTTTTCGTATTGGCAAGTCTTGCAATGTTTCACAATCTTTTCACGTGGCTCTTGAAGGTGGTGATGATCACACTTTCATTAAAAAGCTAGGAAATATGCTCTTATTCCCACAGAGGTTGAAATCAGTACTCTCGCGTCTTCTTGACGTTTTGCTCTTGTGCGGGAATTCCTTTATGGTCACCCAAAATTTGAAATCATTCGAAAAGATTTTGATGTTATGAAGCAGTTGGGTAGTTGGAATATTAATTTACTTGACAGCCGACATATACTTATTTCAGTTATCTCACGATGTCGATTACACTCTCATTTTTTCTCAAAAAGTTATCAAGATCGACAATTGTTTTATGAGAATTCTGAAGTGGACTGTCGATTTTAATCTAAAAGTGGAGTCCCCTATTATTGCTGTTTGGATAAAGTTTTCGGGGTTAAAATTACATCTGTTCAACTTGAAAATTCTTTAATCCTTAGCAACTGCTTTTGGTAAGCCTCTCTAGGTTGATAGTCCTACATTTGTTGTCACTAGACCCTCTGTGGCTTGTGTGTTAGTTAAGAGAGATATCATCGAACCAGCTCCGGAGGAGATAAGGATTGAAACCACTCGCAACGAGTATTGACAAAAGGTTAAAATTGAACTACACCCTCCTTATTGCTCTCATTGTAATATATTTGAACCTGTTCAACTATTTGCTATTGCTTGTATCCCCATCTAAGGCCGAATATCGCTAGAGATTAGCCACCTAACATCCCTATTGAAAAAGGTGCAACCCGATCCTCCTTCAAACACCGCGATTTCTGATGAAGA